CAATTTTATATAATATATAAAAGATGTCGGCAAATATATTAAATTGAAAGAGATGCATTCAAAAATGCTCTGCTCCATTTAAAAAATGAAAAATCCAGGTTGCAATATAAGGTCTACTTTCTATAGCTGAACTAATGTAATAATTTTGGAACACAAAGTAAAATATTTGATATATGATGAAAGAGAAAGTTCTAATGTAGGAATAAAAACAGACTTATATTTCCAGTACTGAAAGTGTATATTGGCCAGTTTGTTATGTTCAAGGATCAATATCATATTGTTATACTTTAGTTTAATAACCTAATCATTATCAAGTGACGAAAATTAATTTGAAACTAACTCGCTAAGGATTCCATTCGCCGACGACGAGTCATACACTGTATTATCTCGCATATTGACATTGATTGACATCAGACTTGAATAGATTTCCGGATTTTTATTCTTAAAAGGAAGTAGAATGTAGTAGAAAAGCACACTGCACAAATAGAAAGTGAAATAATAAAGTTAAGAAAAACGACTGCTGTCTTAACTCACTTGTTTAAACTGCTCAACGTATGTACGTCTAATTAGTTGAGGTTAGTTCAGGTTAATTCAGGTAACTGTATCCAACCGTGGCGTGTTCCCCTGCTTTTTCACACGTTCCGTCTACGACATAAAGTGCAACGCGATAAGCTCTGGGATTTCCGAAATTCTTTTGTCATTTGCGACAAATTGTACCTCTGGTAAGTTCGAATCGGAATAGATCTCAAGCGTAGCACGATTTTTGGATATCGACTATGTTTAGCGCGGGTGAAGAAATTAGGTTAGGTTAGGTTAGAACGATGGACGACATATGACGCATTATCGAAAAATCTGGATCTGTTGTCCTCTTCGGATTTCAATCGCATCGAATTTATCATCGTACACTATCGCTCAATTGACTTTAATTTGAATTACCTACCTCATTTCTTGTTTTTTCCAAAATATACAAATTTGCTTCGTTTATCGTTACGATGCCTTCTGCACATTCGTCACTTTATGTCGAGGGCTAATCGTGAAACAAATTGTTAATATATATCGTTGAAAAATCGTGATTTTTATAATTATACTACTTTCGGTATGAGAAATGAAAGAGAATAAATCCCTTTCTTTGTGCGGTGTCTGATCAGCACTGATCAGTGCGCGTCAATGCGAAAGTATACGAATTGAACTGATTCATTAATCACGTGATCAACTTCGATACTTTT